GTGTTTTTTTAGTTCATTTAGTGAGTTTTTTTTTTTTTTTAGTTCATTGTGGTGTAAGGTAGAAGACAATGAGAAGGTATTTATATAAAAGTAAAATCAATTTTTTTTAAAATTTTTCAAATTCTTTTTTCGGATTTTTAATAATTTTTTACATTTTTTTAAAATTTTTATTCACCTAATTAATCTATACCGTTGGATTTAGACCAATTTGAATTCCAACACTCTAGATTGTGCCACGTGGCACAACGGTAACATTTCAGATTTTTTAACTGTTTTTTCTTTTTTTTTTTAAATTTTTTTAAAGTCTAATAACGTGGAACGTTGATCTCAGATCTAACGGTTGGTATTAAATGAAGTTTTTTTAATTTTTTTTACCATTGGAAATCCAACGGTCCAAAATTTATATCCATTGTAATCCAACGGCCGTGGGGAAGCCACGTGGCTCCCCAATGTAAGATTTTTGAGTGCGCCGCGGGCCCCAATTTCTGATTTTGTGTTGGATTACGCGTGCTTGAAGTCCATGCACCTGATAGAAAACATAAAAAAAGTGCGGCTAACGTCTCCCTGGCGTCAGCCTAAGTCAGATGGCCATCGGGTGCTCGAGCCAGCATGAATCCACAACTTGCTTGCTCGGGCCTGCTCCGGCTCCATCTCCAGCTCCATCTCCAGCTCCTACTGGACTTCCTCCCTCGACAATAGCCCAATGTTCCTTAGCCCGTCCCTCTAGCAACTCCTCCCGCTGGAGTTACTCTAATGGTAGCTTAGATTTTCGAATTGTTTAGTATGTTAGGTTCGGTTTTGGGGGATTTATCATTTTAGAGAGAGAGAGAGAGAGAGAGGGGGGAGAAAGCATGACTGTGTGCATTTTTGGGAGTTAATTAATGGGTTATTGCACAGGGTCGGTGTGAGAATGACAGAGGGATGTACGGGAGGGTATGGGTTTTTAGTTTTTTTCCTCTGATTCAACATGTTACGCACTATTTGAAAATCATTGTTTATTGTTTTGTTATTTCCTAGTGTTTGCTTCTTGGTTCCTTTTGTATTCCTTGGTACAAATGTGTCTAATTTTTGGCTGTGTGATGATCCTTGCAGGTGAACTATATGAATGTTTTTTTGAAACGATTTAAGAAGATCCAGCAGAAAAGAGCAACCAAGATAGAGAACTGGTACGCTGCTTGGTCTTTGTGTTGGATTTTGATGCTTATGTTCTGCTACTAAGTAGATTTTATAGTGTTCTAAATCTGTTTTGCAAATGTGCTTAAAGATTGGACATGTTATTGAATATTAGCCATGTTGTTTGAATTGGATATGTGATTGAATAATAGGTATTTAGTTTGAATTGATTTGGATATGAGGTTTATTGAATTGGAATTTGGATCTGTGCTAATTTGAATTGGATATGTTGAATTAGAGATGTGCTACTTTCAATTGAATAGGTTGAATTGGAGTGTGCGATATTGATATACGATGAACTGATGGTTACTAAACACACACATGCGCGCGCGCACACCCAGACACCCCCACTGACCACCCCACCTCCATTACAGGTAGATCATGCTATTATGATAACAAAAAAGATTAGCAGATTTGTGTATGCCCCCTTCTCCATTACAGTTTCATCCCTGTTCGTTTTTCCTTCTGTCCATGAGTTTGTTTTTAATTAATTTACTCTAAATGTTCGTCTTTGGTTCATGGGGAATTAAAGTTTGATAATAGATTATTTATTGTTCATGAGTTGCGATCACCGCAACAATGTCTGACAATGGAGACCGTGAAAAAAAGGTGGGGTCTAGGATTTGGATCAGCAGCTTAACCAGCCAATGGAAGAGGAGGCTACAAGGTCAGATATGCGTAGAGGGACCAGATTTGGAAATGTCAAAGCTCAAGTTTTCAATTTGTGTCAGTTGTCGAGATGGGGATAAATGAAACGAATTTTTACTTCATGTGGGAAAGAAAGGTTAGTTTAGTTGTCATTACTTATTTGGCTTATTTGAAATCAAATTTGGTCAGATTGAGTTAGCTTAATCATTTGGTTGCGTACATTAAATTGTTGGTTGGTGCTGATTGTTGGAAAAGACCATTTCCGTATGAATCTTAATGTGCAAGTTCTTTAATAACAAAGTTAATTCATTAAACCTAACAAGTACTCAAGACTGTAAACTTGATAAGTAATGTGCATTATGTAAAAAATATATACGATTAATTGTAAAACAACGGCCATTATTTTCAACTTTCTATCCACGAGTAGACACTTCATTTCGTTCTTTATAATAGCAATGTAAAAGAACAATGAAGTCAATTTCTATCCATTTTCTAATTAGTTCTTGGACATGGTCTTCCATGCTTAAATATCTATTTTTTTCGCTTAGTTATTTGATGGTTTTAAATTTATGAATACAGGTTTGTGTTTTTTTTTTTGTCCAGATACTATTTCAAAGCTGAAGGAAACATTGTTCGTGAATAGCACATTGTCTACAAAGACGACATAGAAGACAGTTTACTTCATGTGAAAAAGAAGGTTAGTTTCTCACTAGAAAATATGCCCGCGCGTTGCTGCGCGAACCATCTATTTCAGGCGTAATCGGATGAATGAAACACATTTAAGTTGAATAAATTCAACACAATTATGAACAAACAGAGGAATACATGAGTCAATGAGGTCGATAAGATAAGTACTTTATGGTACCTTGTACCAAAGAGTTAATGCTAGTATGCCCTCTTATGTTTAAGGAGCAATTGAAAGAAAATAGTTCATGAACGTCGCGCTTTTGCTGGCAGAGTTAGACTCATATCAGGATCTTGCCAAAAGAATGCATGCATAACTTCTCCTACAATGACCAAAATGAATGCATGCATAACTTCTCCTACAGTAAATACTGTCCAAAACCAAATCATTTGTACCATTTACATGCTTGTGCAACATATGCCTTACACTGGAAAACCATAAAAATTCGAATACGAATTTGTAAATCATGGACGGATTTTGTTTTACATTTTTATAATCAAATCAAGTGGCAGTGTAGCACATAAAATTACAAACTTGAAGCAACCAGAGAGAGCAGAAATTAAGATGTAGAGGTATCCTCAAACTTGCAACATATTGTATGGAAGCTAACCGTAGAGGTTTGTGAAGCAAACTGCGGCATGAGTTGCAGTCAATTGAACAAAAACATAGTAGTTTAACTAAAAAATGCATGACGAAATGCATTCATAGTTTTCATGCATGACACAACCCTATATTATTCCATAAGTCAACTTAATATCATTCCACAAAGTGAAATTATAATGCTTAGTAACCTGTATTTGCCGCAGAAAGGGCAATGCCACAATGAGGGCAAATGGCGAAACTCAGTAACCTGTAGTAATCATTGCACTTTGTAGCCTATATGTTTTTGCCTATCTGATGGCATCTGCTAACATAAAAAAGGCCACAAAAGGGATGCCAGTCTACTTTGATTCTCATATCAAGCGATAAATAGAACAGATAGATGATGTTTTCCATATCAATAGCATACTAAGAAATCTAAAGGACACAACACAGTAGCTTACTAATTCAAAAGATTAAATGAACTATAAATGGACCAATGGTTAATCGAACAAATTCAATATAATTGAATCACTCCAATTTTAAGCTAAGCACTATATTGCCAAGAAAAGTGCCCATATTGCTGTGAATGTAAAAAAAATGAGTTAGCACTATCCACTGCTCATTTTGCTAAACGAAACGCCTAGAATCTATTCATTTCAAGTAAGTAATAATCCAGAATAGGGAGATGGAGATATCGAATGTTGAAAAGTGATTTGACCTATATAGACCTACAAGTATCGAATTCGAACTTAGATAAAAATAAAGCTGCTGATGGGATAACTGATTCCTGGTGTGAGTCATCACTTCTACTTTTTATGGCAATGATTACTTAAAGTTCTCATGCATACCAGCTCTCAATACACTCAACAACACATGGAGGTAAGGACCAATCTAGTAATCTTGAGAAAAGGGGATCCCAGAACCCTCAAAAGCCACATACATCTTTTGGCAAGATAAGTCATATTGCCAAAGAACAAAAGAAAATAATAACAATAATGTATTGACACATTTAAAAAGAAATTCCGAACCTTTTGTACAATGCAAGAAGGACTGGGAGTATTGAAAAAAAATGTCTATAAGAAGTATTCAATTTTTTTTTTTTACTATGCTCAATTATGTGGATGTGCATTGTACTGCTATAATGATGACAATTATTTGTCAAATGCAAGTGGATTTCTACCATTTTATCAGAAAATGTTAATATCAAAGGAAAGTAAGCTTGTATGGAATGACAATCGTTTAAAATTAATGACAGTATTAAGAACAGAAAAGTTTCAGCAAATAATTGAATGTAATACAATAGACATAGATGAGAGGATTGAGTAATTAGGAATTCTATCATTCATGTGAAAAAGAAAACATGCATTATAGTTGAAACAACTCTTTACCTTTTCAATTGTTATCGGTATTACATGGACTAAAAGAACAGGAGAAGATTGATTTCATGTAGAAGATCACTTGTATAAACTAAATCCAGTAAATCAGAGATAAATGTAATACCACAGTACACGACTGGAAAAGAGAGAGTACAAAATCCAGTCTACTGCTTAAGCATGACTCTATTAAAGTTGAACAGACCAACATATCACATTAAGGAAAACAAATCACCTTCTCAGCCTTGGCAGCAGCTTGCGCAGATTTTCGATACAATTCTTCTCTAACAGCAAGTTAACCCTTCAATTTCTTATCTTTCAAGCCTTGAAACACACAAAATCCAAGATGCAGTGACAAATAAACATGTATAAGTTTCATGAAAACTCAAAGTTTCTAGGCCATACATCCAAATTTTCTTGTGCTCCTCTAAGAAACTTCTTCACTCTCTTATCTGACTCATCAGAAATCTTCTCCTGCAAATTAAGGTACTGCCCATTTTTCTTTCTCATTCCCCTTTTAAGAAAATTATGTGCACATAAGAGCCTAAAGTTCTGCTCTTATGTTGGTGAGTTAAATAGTGCAATGTACAAAAGGTGAGAGCTTAATCCAGTGCTATCATAACTAAAATACCAAAATATCAAAACTTGAAAATCTCCACCTAACAAAACATCTAAAAAACATGTTTTCAATGAGATCGAGTAGAATCATGACTGCAAGCAGATCTTGTGGGACTGCTACAAAAAAAATAAACCAGTTGATTTCCGTAATCAGTTGAGTTTCAGGTGTACATGTTCCATTGCAGGCACAGTGTCAATAGTGCCACCATCTTGTTTCACACCCATTTAGCTTACAGCAGTTTTGAATCCTTCAAACACAAAATACCCTGAAACTTGATGAGTAATACGATTCAACTACGACATTCAAATTTTATTTTTCCAAAGAAAAAAAAGATAAAGTGGTCCACATAAATCTTTTAGCTTGAAAATCCACACCCACAAACCAACCCAATTCAAATGGTGAATTTGTTATAAATGAACACTACGGATCGATCACATACCAGCTTAACAGCCACCTCCTCCCCACTGTGTACATTTACACCTAACACCAGAAGAGCAATTTCATTACAAAACACATTAAATTAACACAATGAATAATTTTCTAAGGAAAAAAGGATATCAAGCAATGATTACCATACCTAAATAAAGTTCTCCCAGAGACCCACTCCCAATCTTCCTCCCCAACTTAAACTTCCCAGCAATCACATGCTCCATGATGCAACAATGTCCAATACGATTCGACCCACAGACTCAAACTGGCTTTATTTCACACCAATTTGTGCAAAATTCTTCCTTCCCAATCAAATCCAGCTGCATGGCATACTCAACTGGCGCAAAATATGCATATCCCCTTCTGATTCATCTACTTTGAAATCTGCAACCTATAACACATTATTACGAAAGCAGAGGAATTTCCAATTACTTATGATACAAACAAACACATTAACTAACAAAAATCCTAATTCCCTCAACTAACAAAAATCCTAATTCCCTCTTTCACTCACTTTCTTTAACTAAAATTTAATTACTTTGATGCTTCTTTCAATTTTCTTTCATTTTCTGAGCAACCAAACAGGGGATAACACAAATTGCAAGGTAAGAAAGAAAGATGGAAACCTGGAGGGCTTGGGAGAAGTGTTTCCGCTTTCGGAGGTCGTCAATGATGATCTGAAGCTCAATGACTCGGACTTTGTTGAATTTGGGTAGACCGATAGTTTCTGATATGATCTGACGATATGAAAACAACATGAAAATAATAGGTTTCGGATCAGCACGGTAACTTATCGGATGATTCATTAAAAATAAATTATTTTGATAATTTTAAAGTTTAATTACTAAAAGATTTATTATAAAATACAATAGTCATATTAATATATACAATATATTTTATATTAAATATATAATTTTGTATTATTATTCTATATAAGTTAAAAAAAAATGTTTTTGTCATTATTTATTTTTATTATGAGAGTTCCTTTTATCATTACTATGACATGGGAGCTCTCCTTCCTTGAAGGAGGAAATTCCATAGGTTGTCAAGCTAAGGGTTAGGACTCTCTCTCTCTCTCTCTCTCTAAGACATGCTGCTTCTCTGTTCTCACACTTGAATATAAAACCATGCGCATGCTGCATGCATATGGATATGGCGATCTCTACCATTTTTGCTACGATTCAAAAACTATTTTCTAATGTCATCCAAAAAAAAACCTATTTTCTAATTTGCCACTTAGTATTAGTAGTACAATCTAATAATATTTTTCTTTATTTATAAGTGAGAGGTGTTTGATTTTCGCTAAAGGCGAAGTTGCATTATATTATTATAGTTGGCTCAGTATGACTGTATGAGGCTTAGCCCACCTCTCTATCCCTTACTATTGTTTGTTAAAAATAAATAATAAAAAAAACCTATTTTCTAATTTAATTAAGTGCCAAAGAATAAAAAAAAAGAAAAAGAAAATAAATAGGTATGTTTGAGTCCTGGGTCAAAGGATCTTTCTTTTGTTCATGTAATAACTTGCTGTGCTTTTAAAAGGATGACCACAAGACCAGCAGCAGTCAAGGAGCCAGCTCCCCCAGTAGCAGTCAAGGAGCCAGCTCCCCCAGCAGCATAGGGCCAGTCTTGACAAAAGGGCCTACCAGAAGGAAACCGTGGGCCAGGCCCACCTCAATACCCTTGAGAAGCCTAGGATAATAAATTTACTTAACATGTTGTCCAAAATTAAAATAAACTAAGAAGACATACATACAAGTATGAAAAATGTGAAAGAATATATAAACACTTGTGATTCATCATTATTCCTCTACGAGTAGATAATGGTTACACTTACATTATCGTTTAGATTTTTAAAATCCTCCAAATCCTCATGAATAATGTTTTTTATTTGAGGGCAAAATTAATAAAATTAATAATAATTATTGTAGAAGTGTAAAAAATGTAAAAAAAAAAAATATACAATCACTCATAATGACAAGCTTTACAACTTTCATGAAGGGGTCAGCTTCGAAATCCAACACTATAATCCATAAACCTTAAATTTATTTAATTTATATTTAACCGTCGATTGTCATTTACGCCTTATTCTTATTATTGAATTTCATTTTTAAAATTTTCTTTTTTGAAAACATGATCATTTGGCGGATGTAAGAAGATGAACAGTTTAGATCTTTAATATCACATTTCGATATTTATGGTTAACTGAAACATGAGTCGATGTCATATAGTTTGTAGAAACTTTATAAACATCAAGCAATATTTTCACTAACTGTAAAACTCTGAACATAATATCAACGATCCAACTTCTGGCATCCTCTAATAGATCATGTTTTCAAAAAAGAAAATCTAAAAAAACAAAATTTGATGAGAAAAATGAAGCGTAAATGTAAACAACAATCAATGGTTGAATTTTGATCTATGATTTATATGATTATAGTGGCGAATTTCGAAGTTAAGTTCTTCACGAAAGTTGTAAAGCTTGTTATTACAAGCGTTTATATATTTTTTATACTTCTACATTAATTAAAAAACTATTAAAGACTTTATTTAAATAACAGCCGTAAGATAAATGAGAGTAAATTTGTGCTGTTGGATTCTATTTCACTTAAATTATTAGAACTTTTTTGGACAAAAAACCCCTTATATTTTCCATTATTTCCATCTGACTCTGATTGGTCAGTGACTCAGTGGTCACTGACTCGCTGATCTAATCAAATCAAAACAAAAGCCACTAACAACACTAAGCCAGCCCACTAAGCCTAGGCTGCCCAACCTTAAATAGTAAATTCTAATCCCTTTCTCTTTCCCCTCCTGTAACCTTCTCTATCTCTCCCGAGTCCTGACCTGCCGTGGCGCCATCTTTTCTTCCTAGCTTCTCTCTCCCACCGTCTGTTCTTCCAAAAAGCTCTAATCTGACAACCACGATCTTCTTGTCTTCCATTCATATGGTCACTTCCTCTTTATTTCTCTACGTAAGTATTTCTCCCTCTTTATTCCTGCATAGAACATTATCTTGTCTAATGCTGAATGCATTATTGCTTAGTAATATCCATTGTTACTGTTACTAATATAATATCCTACCTGTTTAAAAAGCTGTTAATCAATTTATACCCATTTTGTTTTAGAAGCAATGGATGCTAGAGATTCAGATTTAGTAAACGATGAGGAGTCCGTGGAGATTATAATGGGAACATAACGAGATCGTGGAAGCGAAAGTATAGACAATAGAAATACGAGTTTTGGAAGGAAAAAGGTTAGAACAATCAATTTAGGTAAGCGAAAACTTCGATCTCCTGTTTGGAACACTTTCACTAAATTGGATACTATTTTTGAAAATGGTAAATGTCGTGCTCAATGCAAAGATTGTAAAAACTAACACACAATTAAACCCTTTTTAAACAATTGTAGTGTACGTAAGTAGGGATCGTTCTAAGCCAGGGATTAGAAGGGATGCTAATCTACACTAACTTGACTCAAAAAATGAAAACTAGACTCAAATACACAAAACTAAACTAGATTGACTCAAATATCACAAAACAAGCACTAAGGGGTGTTTTGGACGAAAATTGAAGTAAATTGACACGAAATACTAAAGGGGGGTTTGTTTTGACAAATTTAAGATTTAAACAAACAAACTTGTAGAAACAAACTAAGGGGTACGAAATTGGGTGAATTAAGGGGGTGAAAGGCTAGCTAGAGGGTCCTTCTCCACACATGACACATATGCATACAAATCGATTTCCAGTTATTCTTCCTATAAACCATAAATGACAATGCCCCAAGTTAACCATGAACTGCACAAATTAACCATAAGTTTTTCCTAAATTCATTGAATTGGACTCAACGACGCAACCAAATTATTCTTATCAAGTTCCCTACATGAACTGCATAATAGAGATACATATCAAAGATCATTAAGTTATGTGAAAATCATAAGCATTGACATGACATTCGTAACTATGAACTACATGATACTCCTACCAGGAATTTACTTAACGCGATCGTGACTAGCAACCTCCACTACTTGTAAATATAAGTTCATAATTATTAGGTGAAACTCCCTTATATTTTGGCATCAAATTCATGGATGCAAACTAAGTGGGCCCCCTTAATCAACACACAAGAATAAGTTATCAATCAAACAGTTAAGTAAATTGCATTCACAATTTATGAAACAATAACTGGATGTAATCAATTCATATCACATATATGTTCATGGCTTTGAATTCACCTCTAACTAAAACGAAATTAGTTCCTCACGTTTGCAATTAAACAAAGACAATTAAAATTAAACATTAAAAACAAAAGATAGAATACACCTAGAAACGCTCCAACAATCCAAAGGTCTTGAATGGTAGGCATGGCTCCAAGCTTCTTCCTTCTCCTTCCTTGCAAAGATGCGGCACAAGTGTGTTTTTCTGATTTTAGGCTCTTGTGTGTGGTTCTCTGAATGGTGCGGCATTGTGGCATATTTATAGGTTTGAGGGCACATGGCACAAGGTAGTTTTGGAGAAGGATTTGGCACTCCAAAGGTTGTGTTGGAAAGGGATTGCACATCGCAAACCAACAGGGACAAGGATCCAGGGTGCGGCAGATTTCTAGGCTTCTAGAAAGGGGGTATTGTGATAGGTTTTTAGAAGGACAAGGGATAAGGTATGCGGCACCCTTTTAGGAAAAAGTATGGCCTTCTAGAAATCAGGTTTTTAGATGTTCTAGTATGAAAATAACTCCCCTTTGCAGCTGGAATTTAGGTAGAATAGGATTAGGATAAGGTTAGGATAAGATAAGATAAGGTTTTGGATAATGTTCATTCTCTTTAGCTGATTCCTTATCTTCTAAATCTTGAATTAATTTCTTAAACTCTTTAGCACATTCCTAGCCTCTTTTGATCTTCAAAAACATCCATCCACCTCATTCCATGCATGTGTTATCCATTCCAAGCCCAAAACTGCTCTAAAATGCTCCAAATTGCCTTTTCTTGCCACTTTTGCCATTTGAACCTACAAACACACGAAAATAGCTTAAAGCACTCTAATAAATATAAACTAATTGAGTAAATGCAAGGAAATAGGCTAACAAAGTTGCACAAATATGCTCCTATCACTACCATGTCGAAATACTGTCAAAGCTTGTGTGTTGAGGATGTTCAAAACTGAAAAACAAGCACTACATAATTTATTAGGCTCGGTTGAAGGTAGAATTTGTTTGACATCAGACTTATGGTCATCTTAGTGCACTGATGGGTATCTTGCACTTACTGCTCACTTTGTAGACAAGGATTGTAAATTGAATAGAAGGATTATAAGTTTTTGTCACATGCCTCCTCCGCATATCGATGTTGCATTATGTGAGAAAATAAGTGCGTTGGTAACTGAGTGGGGGATTGAGAAGAAGTTATTTTCTATTACCTTGGATAATGCTTCTTCAAATATTTGTTTTGTTAAAATTTCTGGAATCAATTAAATATTAGAGGTCTTTTCTTGATGAATGGTGACTTCTTTCTTGTGCGTTGTTGTGCTCATATTTTGAATTTGATAGTCCAAGATGGACTTAAAGAAATTGATTATGCGGTGGTAAAAATTTGTGAATGCATCAAGTATGTAAAGGGTTCTAAGGCTAGGAAACTAAAGTTTCAAGAATGTGTTAGGCAAGTAAGGATATTGGATAGTAAGAGAGGTTTGATACAAGATGCCCCTACTAGATGGAACTCAACCTATCTTATGC